TGTGCTGGATGTTAATTACTTCATATCTTCTCCATAAGAGAATAATCTGGACAGGAAAGGAGAAAAAAAAGTAATCAATGTGTTCCTCCTCTCTCGGATGAATGACAGAGAAGGAGGCCATCAGTGCAGAGGTCCGGCGAAGATATGAAAAAAAAAATAGCAGTGCCTCGGGCAAAAAAAAAATAACAGGCAAGGCTTTTTATCGCAAGTCGTAATCAGGAATTACGTAAAAATTGTGACTCAATTATTTGCGTACACATCGCGCCCTGCCATTTCGCGTCAATCGAGATAAGGGATCGATACGTTTCGCGACGAAAGTCATCTCGCCCGGTTCAATCAGCGGAGAAAACGATTATACAACTTGGTAAAAATTTACAAGCGCGATTACCCGTTCGTTTGCATCGGTGCGAATAAAAATGTCCGCGTATTTCGTGCTAAGTGCGGCTACAAATCTCGGGCTGATAACGTCGAGCGCGAGCTTTTTACAGATAATTGCGACTGATAAAAAAAAAAGAGGAGAAAGAAAAACACGTAGGACCAAGTTATCAGCGAGGAGGTGTCGAAATGTGATTTTTCGCTCGACAGATCAGTCACCTGCGCGTTTCACTGACCTCTGACCAACCGGCGACTTGCGCGTCGGTGAATTCCGCCAATTACCAATTACGATCGGGCAACGCCAAGGTCGGATCTACGACGTGTCCGGTCACACGATACTATTGTCGTCGTCTTGGTCAGACTTATTGGGCCGTATGTGTGTATGTGTGTGTGTGTGGGAGAGCTCATTAAACCGCCGAGAGCCGAGAAGAAGCGCGGCACTTTGAAAGAACCCGCAGTCCAAGCGTGTCCCACCGTCTTCCCGTTTGTAAAACGCATTTGGCGCTTCGTACACACGTTCTCGAGATCCTCGTAATGACTGCTACTTGAGCCATTCGCGACCAATGTTGCAAGATTGCGACATCCGACATTGGCATCATTACTCATTCAGATCTCTATTTTACATCTCGAGCTTTAAAACTGTGATCTCGAGATACGATTGTTTTTTCGCACGATTATGTGAGATAAGTGTACGTTCAAATAAAATAATACGTCATGCTTTACGCGCGTGTGTCGTCTCTCATTCATGTACTATTTACATGCGAATGTCGCGATGATTCAGAAGCGAGAGAGAAAAAAAAGAAGAAAAATACGAAGAAAATTGCTGAGCTAGAGCTCGATAAACAGATCGATCAAAGGTCAAACGTATCACGCGTACACTCCATTCTAACGTCGCCATGTATTTCGATATCCTCGACTCATTTCCCGCCAAAAGTAATAACGCGACGATCTTGCTAACACCTACGTAAAAACGAGAGATAAGAGAGCCGATGGATGCTAACGTAACTGACCAAGTACCGCTGCGAGCGAGAGGCGGTAATCATCTTACGAGCCAGCGCACGTACGTGTCTGGGTCACGAGCGAGCACGTGCACGTGTGTGCATTCCACGCGCGCGCGCACCCGCGGCTCTTCCGCACGCGCATCGCGTGTATATGAATACATAGATGCGCACACGCACGCACACACACACACGTGTACGGCGGCCGATAGACGATGTCGCCATGTGGTGCAATATACTCTCAGGTGGCGAACGGCGCGATTTTCCTGTCGAGCAACATGGATTGCGACGCTGGTGGCAATTATGCGGAATACTCTCCAACGTGATTTACGAAAGGTAATGTCTCGATTCCGCGGCCATTACGGATATTTAGTTACGCATATTTAGTAATCGAAAATCGCATTACCCTTAATCTCGCGTTTAAAAAGATAAATTTTTTTATAGATGTAATAATTGTAGAATAATGCAAGTAATGTAACTCTTTACGTGGAAAATAAATTTAATTTTTTTAACGATTATGCTCTTGAACGATCAAACATAAAAAGATAATTATTGCGAAACTTATTTTCATATATTTCTTAAATTGTATATTAATTAATTTATATATTTTTTTTTCATTTTATATTTATTCATTAAACAGACAAAATGTATGTATGTTTTTATATAAATCTTAAATTCCACCTAAATTTAATATTTACTTTTTAAACTTGTTTACATTTTTATTTTGCACACTATACACATATATGTTGGATGCAAAATCGTCCGACTCAGTAAAAAATTTGATGATTATTGAAAATATAATCCTACTTGAATTCCATCAAATCAAATGCTTGAAATTATACGAACAATACATGTGCATTTTATTGTCCATATTTATTACTTCGCGAAAAATAAAAATAAAAAACATCTGTTAGAAAAAACATTAATCATTATACGTGCGGCTTATTCGAGTTATGCAAGTCGCGCACGAGTGCATGCCTTCTCGCTGAGAATCATTATAGTTACATACGGTATCGCGCGACACGTGACGGAATGACGCCTGTTTCGAGAAAAATTCGCGCGACATATTCTGAAAACGCGTGAAAAACCGTGAAAATAATCGAAAGAATTATTGTACGATAACATTACCGCAGCTTCAGATTCGCTATAAATCATTAAAAATCATACGTTTTCTCCCGATATTTTTTATCGCGCGAGTAAATAAGTAATCTATTATTAATGGAAATTCCGATTGACATCGATGATTTAATAGATGCTTTCGATTTCTTGAGATTAAAAGATTGAAACGTGTCAATTGAGTCTTTCTTATCCTATTTATAAATCGGATTTTCTTTTTTTACCATTATTTTCTTGCCGTAAAATATAATTTTCGGAAAATTGAGTAATCGTGATATTTCTGGGAAAACTGGCGTCTCGGAGATCTTAATTCATGTACAGTGTACGTAAATCGATAGATAACTTTTCCTGACCTCGACACAATTTTGCGACACGCGCGAAGATACATACAAGATATCTACAAGAGAGAAATCTGTTCGACTCGATCGGATTGCCGGGATCGGCATTATGACGATCTATCAACTCGCCTCTCGCGTCGATGGTAATCGGTAATCATTGGTGTCATTGAGAGAGAAACAGTGCCGAGAGAAGCTGGCAATTAAGTCACATTTACGACGCTGCCAAGCGCGCTCACAATATCCTTCGTCAATATTGACTCAAAACGCGGGATGACGATGCGGCGCGAATCAGACTATATTGTCTGTGGTATTTTGAAAGAATGCACGAGTACGCTCGATATTTTTCACCTCGTACCAACGAGGATGGTTGTACAGGCTGAGAAACGGCCTCTACATGCTAGCACCAGTAGAAAAATCTACTTAAGGACCGCGAGCTTCGTCCGCGGAAACGCAATGTGCATCGTACATGTAATGATTGTTTAACGAGACGGCAACCATTTCGCTGAAATACACCTCGAGCGAATACACTGCAAATATCATACGAGTCCTAGAAATACCATCGAGCGCCTCCGGCATGAAAATTCATAGAAGATTCATACAGTATGGTTAGCATAGCATTTACAAGTTAAACAGATTTTAAGGATCTCGGAAGGACGAAGATAAACTCTAAACGAGAGAGATTCATCTCGCGCGTCTGAGTAAATAAATTGCATTTATACGAAACAATGTTCTGGGAAATTTGCATGATACTCGAGGTGCGTGTGAGAGGTAAATAAAAAATTGTACGATACATTATTCACGTGTGATCGATGGCGAATCGTTCGATAATTGTGACCGCGAAGATGCTAAAATGAATTTGCGTCATGGGTGATGAAAGTGATACACGTGTTGTCACAGCACATTAATAAGAAACGTGTACGATGCGTGTTAGTGTGCAACGTACCGCGATATCCTGGTCGTTATTTTCAAGACGCGTAGGCTTTAAGATCCATTTACACTCATCCACGAGTTAAATTCCATGTGAAATGCAAGTATATAGTTTACACAATTCCATATCCATCCCATCAATATTCGCGATATCGCTGATAACATTTTCATGGGATGTACCGATATGGCAAATATAAATATTTTCATCTAATTTTAAATTTTTGAGTCTCATTTTGCATCAAAGAGTGCGCGATATCAAGAGCGTTCTTGCAAATATTATTATTCGAAAAATGGACAATGAAAAATTAATTAAACTAGTGCAACAACACGTCGAAGTTCATGATCTTCCCCAAAATATCTTGACGAAAAAATCATTAGAAAAAAATTAAAAAATAAAGAAAAATGTTATTATGGCTAATCCATTTTCTGATATTGTTTTTTAAAATCGACTGGCTGTTTTAAAAAATTTATGGATGCAATCCGGATACATAAACAATCAATTCGATCCAGTATGGATAAGTGTAAATAGACCTTTACCAAATAATGCGATGACACTCGACGCGGAACATTCGGCGCATTTCCTTCTCGTTGCTGTCTTTCTTTTCTTTTTTTTTACTTCTTTCCTTTTCCTCGCACTGACGAATCAATTCCATGGCGCGCGCGGCACGAAATTCTCACGGGATCTCTCTTGCAATAAATTACTGCTCGAGGACATCGGTCTGCCGACCTCATGGTGCATGGAACGAGTTTCTCAGTCATCGCACTCGCTCGTGTTTGCACGATGACGAATAATCGAGTCCTTTGCGATTATACACTCATGCGGGTACCCGAATTTGGCAGACTGTACTCAATTAAGCACGTCCTTCCCGATCCTTGATATCATATCGAATGCGATACTTCTACTGGCGTTACTCTATTTCGATTTTTTGCAGCTTTGTACTTTTTATTCCCGACGACTTTGAAATAAGGAAGAATATAAGAAAAATGAAAGAATGAAAAATCTCTCGAATAAAATTTATTAGTCGTCGAATAAAACTTATTAGTGAGTACGAGCGATTTATTTACTTAGTATAAATTATACTCCACTTTATATAAATATCGTGCGACTTGAATCTTAAACTTGTTGCAAATCCACGTTTAATTAATGCGAATATATTGTTATCAGGTTTTCGCAAAATCGCGCAGCAAAGCTAAATATTGCATACTCTTAAGTTCGAATAATGAGAAGAAAAAAGATGAGACTTACCAGTTTCTGAAAATGTCTCTCGCCTCAATCGCTCTATATTGACTGATTCCCTTCTGGACTGATAGTAGCTGTGTTCTTGGAGGGGATCCTTTTCTTTATTGATGTCGTTCTCCATCGACATCTTTCGTTGATTCTCCTTCCTCTGGCGGGTATAAGGCCCTCTGCCGACCTGCTGACCGACACCCTCGTTCTCCGATTCCCTGCTCGCCGATGCTGCACCCTCCGATATGTAGTCGGATAATCTCTCGTGTTTCCGACTCATCAAAAAATCCTCTTCGTCCACCTCAGAGCTGAGTGGTGACGCTGATCTTGGTGAATCGCCGTCGCTGTCAAGCGCCTTGGCGTACCGCAAGGCCATCCGCGAATGTTCCTGAGAATTACCTATTGTAGTCATTGTTGTTGTATTCATCAGCGGCTTCGCCAAATGCAAATGCGGCGCTGTCAGAATTGCAGAGTTGACTAAAGTTGCATGCGATTTAAGAACGCTTCTCCTTGGTGTGATTTTTGGACTTCTAGAGCACCATTGGGAAGAACTGCTGTTCTGTTTTATTAATGTCGGTTTATTACTTACTTCATCGAGTTGACGACAGTATTCAGATGAAGGCACGGGCATTAATGGAATAGAGGTTAACGTTCGCTCGGTAAAATCTTTTCGTGTAAATATAGAATGCAATGGGAACTCGGGACAACAATATGAGAATTTCTTGTATTCGTTCGTAGTCTTATTCGTAACCCGCGACCACGAGGGATTATTCCAGCAGTAAGCGATAGATTCTAATTTTTCGAAATCGAGTTTATTTTCTCTATGTTTCTCGAATAAAATTTCATTTCTTTTCTCTTCACTAATTAAATTTTTTCTCCTTTCTATTTCGTCGTGTTCCCTTTTAAATGCCTCTGTTTCTCCTGCTTCTTCCTCGGCCGAGAACTTGTTCACAACTAGAAAATAAAAAAAAATTATTAAGTTTTTTCTATAAGTTTCTTTATATTTTTATGTAAATTAATTAATAAAATTACGTAATATATATTTAATGTGTACTTGTTATGGCAAGAATATTAACATATTATGCTTATATTGTTCCGCAAAAATTAAATTAATAAAAAAAATGAGATCAATAAAATTCAATTACTAAAGAATATAAATCAATGACATTAATTAAAATTCTCGATATACATTAAAAAAAAGGTTCATATTATGAATAATCAAATTTATAATTTTCCGAACACTATTTCATAATAAAAAAATAGATGTTATTAAAATCTTATGATAAAAAGAAAAAATATTCCGATTATTTTTTGATAATATACATATTGAGAATAATTTTGGAATTAAAATATTGATCTCCCATATAATATTTATTTCGAATTATTTTTGACATTAAAATATATGCTAATACTCTTGCTATTTTAGAATTAAATTCCACATAGATGTCGAAAATGGATTTTTTTTCTTAAATTCAATGATTGAACTATAAAAAAAATATATATTTATTTCTTAATATTTGCCACCGCGGATTGCAACACTTTGTTTCATCGCGATAGTAACGCGTGAAACTGTAATAATCGTAGTACTAATGCATTATTGCGTGTGGTAACAATAAAATAATGTGATTAATAGATTTATGAATGGAGAACATGATAATCAGCGTGTATAATACTATAAAAAAAAATAAAAAAAAATCTTTACATACTTTCCAATTCTTCTTTCTCCGCCTTCTCAAAATTTTTTAAAATTAATTAAACCTATACTTACACATACAAAAAATATATAAAATATAATAATTAATAAAATATAAATATAATCTAATATTTTTTTCAATACATAATTATTAATAATATTTATTATTGCAAATGATATATAATGGCACTTCGCATTCATTATCTACGAAATTATTTCGACTGTCAGCAAATGATAGACGATTATAACGTCACAATACTAGCTTCTTTTTTTATTAAAAGAAAAACGTCCCAATGTACCCTCTTTTATTTATATATGATGCGACATACAATCTATGAGAGTTTCTTTGCACTACATTTCGTTATATGCAATCCTTTACTTTCTAACCAAGCACGTGCAGCCTCAGCGAGCATCCAACATCTCTTTCCAATCTATGTAATTCAATCTGCTATAGTATTTCGTAACCGAGAAACGCGTGGTACAGCTTGTCATGCGAATGAGTATCTATATTTGTACATGTGCAATTTATACATGCATTTACTAAATATTTTCCTCGGTAATTGATTAGAACAATTAATTAGAACAATCGATCGAATATTCAATATTTTTTATTTATTTAAAATACGTAAATATATAAATAAAAAAACAAGAAATATATGATTATATAACGTAGTTAATTTCTTTTATAATACTAAATATAGTTAAATATGATTATCTGAGATCAACGCAATACTTGATTTTCAAAGATTTAATTTGAGAGATCTAAGCAAGCAAAATGCGAAAGTAATATCGTAAATAAAATACAGCTATCCAAGATATGCGGAAGAGCCAGTTATATTACACGATGACTCATTTCTTCTAGCATGTGTGTATGTATCTCAACGTGTTGGGATTCGAAATTGCAATTTCATCTAAATAGACGGGAAACTACAAACAGATGATGTGTGCGGGCGGCTTGCGTATGAATCGCAATTAAAAAGATTAATCTACCGATATTTATTAATTCTAACATACATTTTTCTTCCTCCCGACAATCCTTCCTTCACAATTTTACTAAATCTTTAATATGTTTATAATAATATTATCTATTTATAATTAATATTATAATTAATATATTTATAATATTATAAATATATTATAATTTATGAATATAGCTCATGTTACATATTCGTTTCAATTATTTTCCTAAATAAATTCATTATGTTAATTCATTATGTTAAGATAATAACAATTACCATATCCGTTTGTACTTTACGATCGATTCATTTCATAACAGCACATGATAAATAAGACATGATAAAAGGTGACAGTACTCAAAGAAAGTAGGGGATAGAATTGATGGATCTATTTAATCTTGAAAAAAAGACAATAAGACCTACTTTGGTGATATACATCGCATGCAATTTAAAAAATAATATATATAAAAAATATTATTTAAAAAAGAAGCAATAAAAAAAATAAAAAAGTAAAATTGCAAAAAAATTAAAATAAGACAACATGCAAAGGAAAATGAAGAAAAAAGCATTTTAAAAAAGCATTAAAAAAGCATTAAAAAGCATTTTAAAAAAGCATTAGAGAGAGAGAGAGAGAGAGATCAAATATAACATATCTATCTTATTATTTTAACATATTTTATTAATATAAAAAATTGCAATAATCTTATTTAAAAAACTACTTAAAAAATTTAATAAATGTAACTTGCGCAAATACAGTTAAAAAATATATTATATATAACTAGTCTTTATATTCTAATTTCACATATTTTGGACAATATTGACAGTTTCGAAGTTGACGAAGAAGAAATTTAAAGGTAACGATGTAAGGGATCACCTTAGAATAGCCTTGAGAGGCAAAGAAAGATTACTTCATGATGAAAAAAGATAAACTGCTCCCGTTCACAGGAACTATCACGCCGACAACAAATGATCGCGCAAGCAAACAAACGTGTATGAGAATCGAAACCAATGTAATTTGGCTATCACGTTCACGTAAGATATTGTGAAAATGCAATTTCTTATAAAAGTAAAAAAAAACATACTTTCTCTCTCCCTTTCTTTCTCCTTCTTTCATTAATAATGTATTCAAAATATAAGAAAAATTGCCTGCAAAAAAAAAATTCATTAAATATATATTTGTTTATCTTGTCATATCGCTTGTACAATGTATTTGCTATAAAAATAAAAATAAAAATAAATATAAATATAAATATAAAAATAAAGATAAATATAAAAATAAATATAAAAATAAAAATAAATTTTAAAAATAAATTTAAAAAATTAAAGTAAAAGTAATAAAATTTAAAAATTGCAAAACATATATATGTATTAATTCACAAATAAATTAATCACGAATAATGCTATTAGTTTGAGCATTTTGATGTCCAAATATCTTTGGAGTATAATAAATAAATATCTTTGACATTTTCGTATCTGACAGTATAACTCAGTAAAATAGTTGTGAATACCGTTTAAGCACTTTCTAATATTATATAAATTAAATATAATATTGCCATACATGGTAGATAATGTTTAAATGTCAAATTCATCAATATCGAATTTTGCACTGTAAAACTTTTGCTAAAAAAATGTATATAAAATAAAAAGATATTTTTCTTATGTAAGAATTTCAAGCTATCAATTGATTTTACGACCCCATTCAATCTAAACATTACTGTCAGATATTTGTCAGATAAAAAAATATCAAATCTCAGATTTCCTCCCATATGATCCATTGACACCGTTTTCGATTTTATATTTTCGCGATAAATGACAATAGAATTAATTTATTTAACGCGCAGAAAATATTTTAATCTTCCCATCTCTCAGACGGATTATCGTGTTGATTTTAATCAATTGTTTAAAAATCTAATTAGAATTACATGAGATTATATAAAAAGCTTTTTTTTATTACGTAACCGTTATCTTATTTGATTTGCGATAACTTAAATATAGTTGATTGTAACTTGCATATAAATAGATGAGACAGGTCAGTAACACAGCATCACATGCACACACATGTATAGAGATAGATTAGTACTATGACGTCATAGAGATAGGTCACGGAATTCACAGCGATACAATTTTTTTTTAAATTGCGATAAAAAAATCCTACTCAATTTTTTAAAATGTTATTTCTCTCTTTATACGAAAATACTTTTAAACATTTTTATAAATAAACTGAACATTGAATTTATATTATCGATGGAATAAAAATTACCTAGTACACGCATTATCTGATGAAATAAAGTTGAAATATAACTTTTAATAAATCCCACCTGTTCAAACCCACTCAAATTTAATTTCCTGAGTTTTGTCGACCACCGGAATTTATCCCCCTTTATTCGCGCGCACGACACTTCGGGTCCAAGGACATAGGCTGGACGTAGGCTCTATCAACGATCTCTCCCCTTTAGGAAAAGCAATTTCACCGGCGGTGCAAAATCGCCCGAATGTGCGCGCGCATTCGACGCGGAGAGAAATTATTCGTGCGATCTGATAAGGGGCCGCTCTCGTCCGGACTTTCGAAAATGTACAACGTACACACACGCAACGACACGATCGGCAATCGAACGTCTTCCTCGCTGCCTACGCAAGTCGCGAGGAACGAAAAACCGGTCCAAGTTTAGATAGGTAGATACGGTGCCCGGACGTTATCGCTCGAGCGTATAACGAGCCGACAACTTTTCCCTGTCGAATGTTAATTATATATATAAGGGCGAGGTGTGGAAAAGGCGCGCTCGGAATGGCGAAAAATTGACACGCTCGATCGCTCGTCGATTAAAGAGACTCGGATCACGCGCTTTTTTATCGTTGATCGATGAAAGCGCAACGCGCGCCGCGTGAACGATTATTTATTTTTTTTTTTTTTTGTTATCGTGCCAACCGACTTTATCACTCCACGTGTCAAACGCCATCGGTATGTCGCTGAATAATCGGGTCAAAGTTATGCTCGCAAAAACAGATTGGCAATTCTCGGAAAGCTCAGAAAATAGAGTTCGAATCAGAGTTGCAGAAATAAATGAAAGGTACATTAGAGGAGCTTTTAAGGTAATTAATAGACTTTTCGAAGTAATTGCACGTGATTCAAAGAAAAAAAAATACACGCATATTTTTTTTTCTTCATAGATAGTTACACGAATTAATAAACACGAATGAATTTTAGAGACATTACAAAAGAGGAGAGAGGAAGATAATTATTTTGCACTTTACAATTAAAAAAAATCTACTCTAACAGTTTTTAAATACATAAATATTTTTCTCCAAGAATTAACTGAATTAATAAATATACGTGGCGAGAAAAATGTAAACGCATTCAAGATGAGTCTGAGACTAGATAATTATTTACTTCTTATTATTTTTAATAATTAAATAAATGCAACAATATTCTTCCTCCTTTCCTTCCAAATGAGTACACAAACAGGCGAAAGGAAAGACCCGTATATTCCTGAATTCTTATTCTATTCATGAAGTCTTTGAAAATCAACGCGCACGAGTGTCAGGATTCCCGGCTACTTTCATACTCAATTAGATCCCGGGTATAATAGCGTTTTGACGTTTCGTTGCGGACTCTATTATTTACGAGGGAGAAACGTCCTCGCGGACGTCGACCGGACGAGCAAAAGAGATTTGTCGCGAGAGGCGATTCACGTCGCTTGTCTTGGAAAAGGCGACCGGGGTCTTCTTCGCGTGTAAATAAAACTTGCATTATCGCCCTCGGATCGGGCCTACGCCGTCCGTTTGTTTCCGCTCGCAAAGCAACGCGAGCGTCTCGCCGGCAATAACTCCGTCACGCTCCGCAAAGAGCTTTTAAAGAACGTTAAATCGGATTCCTACGAGCGAGCGCACACGTCATACTCATTCCCATCGATTTCCGATAAACTCAATACGAACGCGAGACAGGTAGGGAAGTTCGATGAACCGTTGGCGAAAGCACGAACAAAATAATCAAATAAAACTTATACGTTGGACATGTATTATATATTTTCTAATCGTGAATTTCTTTAATCTTTTTTTCATTCCGATTATGAATTAAACTCTGATTATGATATCTAAATAGGAGAAGGGAAAAGTAAAAGGAGAACCCGAAGTCTCGTCTCGGAGATTCTCACGTCGCGGATGAACCTCTCTCGCGATTGATCTTATAATCGAGCGAAATTCGAGCCGGATCTATGACACCGCCCTGCCCTTCCGAGGGAAACGGTTGTCTCGTATATGTTACACTCAACAAAATGTTCTCGCAACTACAATCTTTCTCTAGACCCGAAAAATTAATTGAAGTAGATGAATGACTAGCAAATACTGTGATACGTTTTGCACTTAATCTAAATGATAAATAAAATTTTTTTTTATTTATTTATTTATATTGGAAATGTCATTGAAATTTAGAAAGAAAGTCTCTTGATGGCTTATCCATGTTGAGGCTAATCAAACTTGTTAGAAAGAAAAATCGTTTTTCAAAAAAGGATCACTTTAGCTGCAATATCGAAACTCGGATTAAACCAATGTATGATTAACATTTGACGGTAGAATCTGAATTTGCGAAAAAGCGACTATTAGAGACTGCTACTGTAAATTTCCGAGAAGATTCTAGCAGATGGAAAAAATAATAGAGGTAAATTTTTGGTGCGAAAGAAACAGCATTTTTTCGAGCGTAGCCGGAGGATAAATAAGGAGCACGCGAGATTCGCCCCGCGAATGGATAAGCCGCCTTCCGAGACAGTTCGCGATCTCATCGATCGCGAACGCGCCGGCCGAGAATAGACGCGCTCCGGATCGAGGGAGCGCCGCGACGCCGAGCGTCACCGCCCACGCGCGCCGCGCGGCGCGGCGCGGCGCGTCGCGTCGCGATGCGATGCGATCGCGTGGAAGAGGCGCGGCGCGAACGAGATATACGAGATATATGACACAAACCAACCTTCGTAACCGTTGTTCATGTCCTCTAGAGTCCATACGTCGTCCTTCTTGCTCTCATACATCTTGACATACATTTCTTCCTTGTATGCAGAAAATATGCTGCTCAGTTCCTCGCTCAAGCTGTATGATTCCATTATTAATATCCGATCGATATCCACTAAGATGATTTAATCTGACTGTATCGAATACACTTTGCACTTCACTCCGACCACTCTTCGACAAGACACGTTCGAGAGATTTTATTTCAACTATAATATCATATGTATATATTTATATATAAATATATTATTTCCTTTATTATTTCTCTTTCACTCTATTTACACCGTGTAAACTTTTTCACCGTCCCTTTTCTCGTACTCGCCGCGAAATGAAGTTGTGCGCGAACGTGAAGCTGCGCGCACGCGCACCCGCAGCTAAATTCGCGAGAGTCGCGTAAAATCAAGCGCTTCTACAATCAAGCGTGTATCTATCCTATAGTATCCGGTGTTCCTGCCGGTTATACGTCCTGCTCGTTTTCCCAGTACTGTCACGTCGAAACGACACACTACTACTGACACGATTACTACGATTGCTATGACTAAAGTTGCTACCGCTACTGCTGCTGCCACTATCGTACTGTGTCAGGCAAGGGATGAATTTCATTCTCGGCGCGATTACGGAACCAATGGCTATCCCTTACACTGAGATTGAGGGAGGGAGTCAATGAGGGAATCAATTTAGGCACCGGTGGCTATCTCTTGTACTGTCACGCGCGCGCGCTGCCGACGATTGGTGAAAACTCGACCCTCACTCCAAAGCCAGTCAGAGGCGACTGAACATTCTTCCAATCGTGAGTATAGAAGTATATATGTTCCATCTCCGCACTTTCCCCCACCACCGCGATCTTCGCTCCCGCCAGGGACGTCGCTCGTTCCACTGCGCCTGCGCAGCGGACGGTAGACGCCGCAGTACTTTGGGCAAGGTTGTTGCAATACGGTTACATATACGAAAGTTGAACGGAGATTATATAGATATTATTCCAAATTATTATAATATTTATTATAATATCCTTTGTTGGCAATATCACGGAGAAATCTCGATCAGTAGGTTGATAAAACTCAAAACTCGAGTTCCCGATAATAACAAGTATGTTGTTGTCATTTCACTTTTTGAAGAAACTGTATTGTTTATATTTTCAACCTTCTTTTTTTCAATCTTAAAAAAAAATATTTACGTTAAAAATTTCCCCTCTAGCTAGATATATTTTACATTTTGAATAGAGAATCAGTTATTTCTTATTTTAATTTTAATGCTTCATAAACTGCGAAAAATATGAAAAATAAAACATTTTTCTTTGTCTAGAAATAAATCACAATTTCTATCAAACGTTTGATTATTTTTATCAAATTACAGTTACAATAAATTGCAAATTTTTGTTAAGTTTTTTTTAACGTACATAATTGTGCGCTCAAAATGAACAGTTAAAAATGGTCTTGCAATGTAACAAGCTAATCTTAATTACAATTCTTCAAGATCGAAATATTGTAAATATATATAAATATCTAATTGCAATTCTCCAAGACCGAAATATTATAAATATATATATAAATATTTAACTATGCAATTATAAGACTGAAATGATAATTATACTCTAATGTATTTTTAATGTATTTTTCTCCTTTCACATTTTCCCTTTCACATATTTATAAATAACATAATATTTGTACTTATAAATCCATTATAAGTATTTCTAGGAATTTTCGATCAGGCTATTAGCATTAAACAGAACATACATTATACAAATGAACTGATTCCAATAAAATAACAGTAAATAATTAATATCGATATGAAAATGAATAGAAGCATTTAGAAAAAGTCAAAATAAACAATAAATGTAATAAGAAAAAAAATTAATTAATTTAATTATCGAAGCATTTCATATTTCGATATTTAAAGAAAAATAGCAAAAATTTTTTAATGTAAATTTAATGAGAGATTCTTTTTTAATACAAATTTAATTTTAAAGCTACTTATTTTAAAGCTATTTTGCGCAATTATTATTATATTTTAGCATTAAGAAAATTTTTAATTTTTTCAATAGTATTGTACCAAGCCGAATTTGTTAATTAATATTTATATCTATACATGTTATCATTCATCGATGAGTCTAGCTTTTCGTAGTCATATTTGCTTTTAGTAATCGGATCGTATTTGATAATGAAAATCGTTTATCGCTGACGTGCCATCACATTAATGAGGAGAAAATTCTATTCTATTCTCTCAAACATAATTTTGTTTTGTACTTTTCCTCCCTTTCTCTTTATCTCTTCTTTATACAAAATATCTCTTATTTCATTTGACATTTTATCTAAAGAAATAACTGATAATGATTCAATACCTTTCTCACGATCACCGATATCTTGAAAAAGTTTAGTTGCTCTGTGAGTAAACGAAAATATTTGTTTAAAGTTATGACCTCATCTTTACCGTTACAAAGCTAGATAGCGAAAGAAAATTTAATTTAATGGATTCCAAGGAAGAGAAATTTTTTTAAAAATACAAATTTAATTTTATACTTATGTTTGAGCTACTTATTTTATCGTTACAAAGCTAGATAGCGAAAGAAAATTTAATTTAATGGATTCCAAGGAAGAGAAATTTTTTTTTAAATACAAATTTAATTTTATACTTATATTTGAGCTGCTTATTTTAGAGATATTTTGCGCAATTATTACTATATCTTAACATTAAAAGAATAATTTTTTCAATAGTATTATAGCACAAATTAAGTCAAATTTGTTAATTGATATTTACATCTATGTTATTCAGTATCAATGATTCTAGCTTTTCGTAGTCGTGTCTGTTTTTGGAAATCACGTCGTGTTTGATAATCGAAATCGTGATTACGTACTCATGTTCGTCGAAAAGTTTGCCACATCCTTGATACACATTGAGGCGTCCAGCGTCGAGCTATCGCAGCTTATTGTTTCTGACACAGCGGAGGGTTATCTCGTATGAGCCGCCGTGTTTACGACGACGGACAGGTAATGGACTCTTTTGTGCAGTCGCGATATATGTTATGGTCTTCGCGTATAGGCATACGCACGTCGTCCGCGCGTAGAGCCGGTCATGGGAGAAACGCGACGGAGGCCGCACGCGGAGCGTGGTTGCGGTCGGCAACCTGTCGGGAACCTGTACGGATTTAATGCTCCGTCGTCGCGGAGAGAGCGTCTGGAATTGCGGGCTCGTCGTGTGTATCATCTCTTCTCACGACGCGCTCCTTCGCGAAGCGAATTTTCTGACGTCGTACTTTTTTCGCGATCGCTGAAATGTGCAAGATCCTCGGAATTTTCCAAATCCTCCTTTGTCCCATACATTAGTATGTGTAGATTCATAAGCTTTTTGTGAACAGATGGCAAATGTCTTAAAGTATGCTCGGCCTGTAAAAGAAATTTTGATTTATGACTTATATTCTTTTACGGTAAAACTCTACTTTCCTTGGAAAAAAAGGCTTGGAATTAAAACACAAAGGACACTGAATTTTCTATGTGTATTGTAGACCCTAGAAAAACCTTGAAAATATGGATATTGATGGTTTTAGGACTTAGAATAAAGCTGTTTATTCACAAAAGTTCTTTATGTTCAGCCGAAATGTTGATTTATGGTTGAACTGAAAAATTCAAAAACGATTTTTTTGAAACTATGCATCAATAGCTCATCGAATAATGTTAAATAAACAAAAAAGGAATGAAGCCGATTAACCGATTGCATTAATGAGTTTTAAATAGTCATATGAGATAACATACCTTCACTACTTCATAGCTATGTCACGATTCTATTATCATCTTCCATCAGATTATGAATATTGTAATGCGGGCAAGCGTGCTTCGGTTATTATGAATCAACGCATTATGTGTCCGGCCTTTTCAACGTAACGATAACGTAACAATAACGATTTCCTTTTGTTGCACGATGCATTTCCGAAGGAATTGCAAACACACGTGTGTTAAATAATAATGCCTCCGTTTATGTTCTATGCTTCACAAAATCAAATTATTTTTCATATCTTGATGATTTCTCTATAACTCATTCAAAAAATATTTTGTAGATAAATTTCTACTGTAGATATTAAATACTGTAGATATTATACTGTAGATTACTGTAGATATTTCTAATTTAGATATTACAATAAAATTTGTAGATATTACAATAAAAATTTATCACTATTTTTATATCTAGAATTATTCATATCAATAAATTCTAGTATTACTTTCTAGCAAATTTAAATTTCATTGCCAAATATTAATCGCTGTAATTGATAAATATGAGAAATAATTTTTCTCTGTACCGTATAATCAAATTTTATAACAAAACAATTCAAATATAAATTCTGTGCCTGTCATTTAAATTGATTCAATGCAAAACATACGTGATATTATAGTATTTGCTAATCATTCGTCTATCTCAGTTAATTTTTTGCACCAGAAAATTGCGAGTTTTATTTTAAGAGCTGATTATAATAGACAGTTTTTAAATGAAATATAATAAAAATATGTATATATGTTACAACTTCATAGAAAACCTTTACGTTGATATATTCAAATTTATAAAATTATTTTAAAAGTTATTGGTCTCAATAACTTAAGTAAACAAAAATCATTAATGATGAAAAATTGATTAATGATCAAAATTAAAGTCACGAGTATTAGCCTGTTTTACGATACACGATTGCAGATATATATAATTGTGACGGAATTTCTGAACTTTTCGCAATTATATAAACTACGTTTCTCTCTTTCGTACAAAGTTGTTGATCGAATTTTCCGCCCTCACGATTAGAAATCTACGAAGCGGAACAAATCATAGTGTGTAGGCGTCAAATCAACAGAGGCATCCTCGAGGATAACTTACTGTTTACGTCCGGATTATCCGGATATCCACGGAAAAGCCCGCAATTCCAGGTCACTGCAGCTCATTGTGGGCGTATAATTCGTCAACTTATTATCATTGTGTGTCGCGGCCTATCGTGTTGTCATTCCGAAACGATAAATTAGCACTTGTCATTTTTCCAACATTGCGACGTTGATGACCAAGCGTCTCGTGGAGAACCACCGCGCTGAGAAGCCCTTGACACATAATGTTGTGCAATACAACAACGGTGCGGAAAAAATGACGTCGATAGCATCACGTTATATCACATTCAAGGGCCGCCTGTGACAGGCATACATAAACGTTTCTTGTGAATCTTTGTCAACGGAAACGAAAAATATTAATCAGCGTTATTACACATGGGATATTAATATGTCGATTAAAGGTACTTTTTTGAAGAATTATCAATGTTTCTTCTAACTCGAATTAAAAGAAGCGCGTTTCCTTATGAGTTTGCTTATAATATAATATTAAACAATATGCGAAAAAAATTCTCTTTACATGTAGAAATTTATATAAATATATTAATTTCCAGTTAATTTATGTATTTGATAACTAGATTCTGCAATCTTTTGATATGTATTAGGACTCACATTTATAAATGAAAATAAGCATAAATTCATTTATTTGAAATGTCTTTCTATATAATAATATAGGTATCTAAGTTATAGGTATCTAAGTATCTATATATAAATATAGGTATTTAAGTTTAGAATTGTTTAAAGTATTAAAGGAAAAATAAATACGTTTACATATATATTTAACATTCATTTATTAGAAACGTCTTTCCGAATATTTTCATTATTTTGTTTTAATAAACATATTTATATCCCTTTATTAAATATATATTTTTTAAGTACCTTATGTATCTTATCACTGACATATTTATTACAGATATAATTATATTGTTA